TGTGAAGGAAGTGCAAGCACTGCCAGGTGTTCAAGTTGTCAAAGGGGCAATGTGCCATTGGCATATGACCTCGGAAGACAGCACAGGCAGAGGATTGGTCCAGAAGCCGACCGGCGGCTGGATGCCAACAGTTCCGAGCTGGCAGAAATTCTTTCAGCAAGCTGCAGCAACGAAGATGGCAAGCTACTGTGTTCTCTTTTGGCAAGTAAAAAGACGAGCAAGTTTGGGAGACGCTCGCGCTTTACGACATCAGCCGTGCACATTTTCATGGCAAGGCTCAGAGGACTGTATACACAACGCTTCCTGAGGGCGAGGAGGAAAGTGGAATGTGCGCACTGCTGATGAAGACAATGTACGGCGCGCAGGATGCCAGCCACGTCTGGCAGATGGATTACACAGACCATCTACAGACACGCGGCTACATCACCGGAAGTGCATGGACTAGTGTTTTCAGGAATGAAGAAACTGATTGCCAAATGTTGGTCCACGAGGACGATTTCTTTGTCCTCGGCGACTCCGAAGCGCAATCACACATCCAAAAGACACTGGGAGAACGCTATGAGTTTCGATGTGACGGTATCGTTGGACCCGGTGAAGGAAGCAGACTCACCATTCTGAACCGGATTGTCACACACGATCAGGCAACTGGAGATGTCAGCTATGAAGCTGATCCAAGGCATGCTGAAATGTTGGTAAGGCAGATGAACCTGGACAAGAGCAAGACCTTGTCTACTCCTAGTGAGAAGACACGCCTTGCAGACGTTCTCAGTGCAGGTGGACTTCCACCGCTAGATCCGGAACGGGCAAGTTTCTACAAAAGCTTGGCGATGCGGGCGCAGTTCTTGGCACAAGACAGAGCTGACCTGTCAGAGAGTGTCAAGTCCTTGACACGGTGGATGCAGAGTCCAACGGATGTGCACATGAAAGATTTGAAGAGGTTGGTGCGCTACATTGCTGGAAAGCCACGAGTTGTCACACATTGTAGAGCCCAATCAATGTACAAGGAAATCAAAGTTTACTGTGACAGCGACCCTGCTGGATGTTTGCTTACGCGCAAATCAACATCTGGTATTGTGTGCATGGCAGGCAGACATTGTGTGAAGCATTCTTCGAACTTGCAATCTACGATAGCATTGTCGTCAGGTGAATCGGAATATTACGCGGCAGTCAAGGCTGCGGCGTTGGGACTTTCTCTAAAGGCATTGTTAGCAGATTAGGGAATCGAAGTTTCAATCACAGTTTTGTCAGACAGCTCTGCAGCACGTGGCGCAGCATCGAGGAGAGGTCTAGGTAAGCTCAGGCATGTACAGACAAGGTTCCTTTGGCTGCAGGAACGAGTAGCGTGTGAAGACCTGAAGCTTGAAGCTGTCAACACACGCAAGAATCTTGCAGATTTGCTCACAAAGCCAATGACTCGCGAAGTTTGCGAGCGGCACATGAGCACAATGAATCAAGTCTTTGAGACTGGCAAAGCCAGAGGAGCTAAGGCCCTCGAATCCGCCAAGGTCTAGTTGAGCTAGCCCTGTAGCGGAAGGAGGGGTGTTCAGAAATCACGTTTGCCATAAGTTGAGACATGCCAGGCATCGAATGGACGTTTGGCTCAAGCCATCATGTAAAAGGGTTTGCTGCCCATATATTTTCATCAAGGATAGATAGGACAGATAGGATAGGTAGGCGGGTGGGTAGGTGAGTAGGTTGGTAGATAGATCGATAGAGATAGGATAAGATAGGAACATATAGCAGCAGACAAGATAAGGTGGGATAAAATGGGATCAGATAGGATAAGAGAGGACAAGACGGGATAAGATAGGATAGCAAGGCTAACACAGGAGAAGATAGAATACGATAGGATAAGGTAGGACACAATAAGAAAATAGGATTAGATGGGATAAGACAGGATGAGGGTAGGATAAGACAGGATAAGATAGAGAGATAGGTAGATATATAGACAAATAGGTCGGTAGGCCAAGACAGGGTAAGACACGGTAAGATAGGCCAACATGGGATAGAAAGGAAAAGATAGGGTAATACTGGACAAGGTAGGATACGATGGGATAAGACGGGATAAGATACGCAAAGGTAGTAATAAAATTATATGATAAGATAAGATAAGGTAGGTAAGATAGATAAGGTAAATAGTACCGATACGATAGAGATGATAGACGCGGTGGATAAGACGGATGATATTTATCAGATAGATAAGATGGACAATCTAGATAAGATAGATACAATGAGATAAATAGGACAGCTATGAACGATTTTATAGATATGCTATCTGGATAGGATAGATAGGATAGATAGGATAGATGCGATCAATAGATAGATAGATAGATGGATAGGGAGACAAACTGATAGATAGATCGATAGATAGATACATCGATAGATACATAGATAGGTAGGTAGGAAGATAGATAGATATATATATATATAGAGATAGATACATAGATGGATACAAATAGATGAATAGATAGAGATAGATAGATAAAGTTAAAGATAGAGATAGAGATAGAGATAGAGATAGATGGATGGATAGATAAATAGATACATAAGTAGATAGTTAGGTAGAGATAGGTAGATAAATAAGTAAACAGAACATGGGATGAGTTTGCCGCCTTTTCAATCGGTTATGTCTCGCAAAAGTTGGCATTGAGGAAACATGCGAAAGTTGGCATGCGCACGGTGTTCACCGCTTTCGCGGGTTTTCGCGGGTTCACAGTTTTCGTGTTTTTTGCCGTTTTCCCGGCTCTTTGCTGTTTTCGTGGTTTTCGCGGCTTTCACGGTTTTCACGTTTTCGCGTGTTCTGCCGTTTGCGTGGTTGTCGTGGTTTTCGCGGTTTTCGCGTTTTCGGTTTCAACATCCGCTTACGAGGAAAAAACACTACGCTTCGAGCAATCTCCACCCTCCACACCCACGAGCATACGACCGTTACAACAAATTCCTCCGCATCCTAGAGACTTCGACTCCAAATTCCCATCCCCTTTTGGACACTCAGCAAAACCAGACTGGCGAGCTGCTCTGGCAGGATACTGGCAGGATCCACTGGCGAATACTGGCGAGCCGCTCCGGCTCGATACTGGCCGGATACTCGGCAGGATCCACCCGCAAGGGATACTATAATACTTGGCGGGATAGTTGGCGGGATCCGCTGGCGGCTGCTCTAGCATGCTCAGCGGGATGCTCGGCGGGATCCACTGGTGAGCCGCTCTAGCGGGATACTCGGCGGGATCCACTGGCGAGCCGCTCTGGCGGGATGCTCGGCGGGATCCACTGGCGAGCAGCTCTGGTGGGATACTGGGGGGTTCCACTGGCGAGCAGCTCTGGCGGGATACTCGGCGGGATCCACTGGCGAGCTGCTCTGGCGGGATACTCGGCGGGATCCACTGGCGAGCTGCTCTGGCAGGATACTGGGTGGGGGCGTGGTGTAGAAGCATCGCAAACGCGGATTCCAACATAAAATCTAACAACCCTTTCTGTCGGGCGGGGAAAAAACGCACAGCTTGTTTAGGGTCAGATGTCGAGATAGAGGGTAGGGTTAGAGTTGGAGGTTAGGGAAATGCCGCTCAGCCAAGCCAAGCAACTCTCTCCAGTTCACAGGGTTGGCAGTCGCATTTTGACGCTGGTCATTTGACAAGTGCCATCAATCAAGCTGCAAAATATCTACTCTCTCAAGTGGCTCTGGGGAGATGCAGATGAGTCCATCAAGAACCAGATCTTGGAACATGTTATGAGCGCAGCTTGGAATGCTGCTGCCGGCGTTCCCGATCCGAGGGGGCTAAGGGTTCCGGGTTCCGAGGGGGCTCTGAGCGGCTGGGGAGGTTTGCGGAGAGTTTCGGAAGGTTCCAAGGTCCCAGGGTTCCTGGAGCGTTTGCTGGATGCTAGGGTTTGGTTTCTGGACCGAACGGTCTGGGTCAATGGTTCGAAGCCGCCGCGGGCTGTTCAGAAAGGATTCCAAAGGCTGGTCCAATGTGTCCAGTCAAACTTGAGTTGCGGAGAGTCCCTTGAAGCAGTTGCAGGATTGGCTTCCTGATGCAAGTTCGGATGGTTTCGGAGGGTTCCGGGGTGGCGTGGGGCTGAATATCATGATGTTGTTTCATTCAAAAATCGTACCGTGAAGAAATGGGACTTGCGAGGCGGGTGATCTCCTCATCATCAACGACCATGGCACTGCATGGGCATTTCAGCTACGCAGGTGAAAGGTTAACCGGGTATGGGTCTAAAGCGCGATTGATGCCAGCGACCACTTTGCCGTGACATTGTGAACGTGCGCAAATGTGCTGCCCAAGTAGCCGTTCCTTCTGGATCGTTTTCATGTTGCCATGCTTTGTGTCAACGTTTGCAGCAATGAATTGAAACTTGGGCAGGGATCAATGAGCTCCCAGAATTCAGCCTCTTTAGGGACCGTGATGTTTGGCAAGCAATTGCGGACGGGGGGCCAAGTATGCAGACCTTGCCCCAAAGGTGCGCGCCAGATGCAAAATAGTTGAGCTCCGAGTTGCGCGCTGCTTTGCAGACTATGTAACATGAGCGCACGGACTGCACGTGTTGAGTTGAGAGCTGAACTCTTGCATGTTTGGTGATCGTGGCAGGCACCCAAGAGGGCATTTGCGCAAGGTGATACACCCTATGGCAACCTTGACTGTGCAAAAGCCTTAAACATGAGTGTATGTCGAATAGACACGGCAGCCTCGCTTTTGTGTATTTAGTGTGATCTCAACCCCCGACCAATCTTGCCCAGGTTCCCTTCTTTCGTGGTGTGCCACTTTTTCCATTTTGAACGGGACCTCAAACACGAATCTATGTAGCCGACCTTTGGTTGAAAGCAATGCTCGACCTGTGTTTTCAGGCAAGTGTCACTTCAACTCCTTTTGATAATGTTGCCAGCTTTTAGAAGCCCTTGTGCGCCACATATGGACCAAGGGTCAGCCCAGCCAGTTGGGCAAACTCGGCAGTGCAAAGTGTTTAACTGTCAAGTGACACAACATGAGCAACATTCTCACAGAAGCCCCTTCAGTGTTGAAGGGGCCGTAAAGATAAAGAGTTGTGAATCGCAATGCCGACTCCAACAACTGCACTGGATCTCCAAAGAGATATCCTCCAACTGCGAGAAGAGCTGCTGGGGAAATTTCAGCGCCTTGAAATTCGTCTCCAAAGACTCGAGACAAAACAGCTGAACGGGCTGGAGGCAAATGATGTGGCGACACATTCGCCGTTGGCTGGCGAAGATGGTGGTGGCAATGAGATGGTGGAGATGAAGGTGGATGAGAATGTGACGCAACCAGATCTTTGGGATGTAGAGCTGAAAACTGGAGATGCGATTTCGAGACAGACAACGCAGCAATCCTTTGATGACATGTCAGAGCAGCAGGAAGGCCAAGTTCATTTTGGAGAGAGCGCATGGACTTTTCCTTTTGTCATTGGTTTGGTCCCTGCCGGTCAGTGGGATATGACCTTCTCCATTCTGCTGTTGCTACTGAATCTGGGTATGCAGGTAGCATTTACAATCATCATTTCCACGGATGATTTCATGGGCACCCCCTTTTGGCGTCAAATCCACTATGCGAAGCGATGGCGCATCAGTATGGCGCACGACTATCAATATTTGGACCTGGCTGGGAGGAGCTTGGTGTCGCGCGTTTGTGCAGGGGATGGGGCGTTGATTCTGTCCACCACCCAAGCCACCCTAGTGGAGCAGATCAACAGCTTCTTGGGATTGCAGGAGGATCAGTTCGAGGCCCCCTTTTTTCAGCCCGGGACGTTGCTTTGTATGCTGTGTATCTTGGCGGATTTGGTCATATTGTGTATTCAATTTCAACCTCATGTGGATCATACTTGTCAGGTGGGTGGAAACTTTGACCGCTCCGCGCACTGGTGCGGAATGGATGGATGGACGCAACGGATGGGGGTTGGATCACTGGATGACTAGGTCACGCGCACGTGCTAGCCACCCTTACAGTCTAAAATCTATGCGGCATCACCAGTACTGATGCTTATGATGACAACCGTAGTTATAATCATCCCTGCGCATCTGCAGCATCACCAGCAACCATGACTGTGCATCCCTAGGTTATGCTCACCCTTCCCGTGCGCCTCCCCTCTTTGGCAAGGGGTCGGCGGAATTTGGAAGCTATCAGGTATGCTCTTTTGGAGCCTTTGTGTCTACAAGGAGTACCGCAACATTTGGCTGGGTTTGGAGGTGGTATTGCGGATCCCCCGCTCTGACCAGTCGATCTTCCGCGACAATACCTTGCGCAGTATCTGCAAAGGACGCTTCAAGATTCTGTTATTCACATATTTGGCACGTGCCGCCATAGCCACGCTACTTCTTGGCGCAGGAATTCGGTGGCTTGCTGAAACCACATCCATCACTGACTTGATGCTCAATTGTGTGGCACTGAATGCAATCCTGGATATAGATGAGTTGCATGGATTTTCACAAAGTAAGCAATGTGTACCGTTTTTCCTGTGGAATACCCCATGTGTTTTCCCTTTTTGGTTTCGGTGCGATCTCCATGAGTCCAAGGTTTTTGTTTGCCGGCTTCACTCCAATTTCAATTCAAGTGGCGGTCCAGAACTTGAAACCTGTCAAGATGAAGTACGGCCGACAGCGCAGCCAGCTTGAGAGTTTTGGCTTGCTAATCCTGCTGATCGGCACACTGCTCATACCCTACTTGTTCTTACTGCAGCCGCTAGCTGAATCGATGATTGCTGTGAAAATAGAGCTCTGTGGCGGCAATCAAACCTTTGTGATAGGACGCAATTCAGAAACCCAGCAAAATATCGGACTTGTGACCAAAAGCGGCTTCGACGCTTCAGATCTCACCATCACCGAACTGGCGGTTGACATTCACAAGTCCACGACAGGATCTGAAGAGCCGTACCTTTTCTTCTTCGCTCCCAATGCTCGTGGCTTTGACCAGCAACTCAATGCGGACATGGCTACTACTACAACGCAATTTGGGTTCTGCATCGAAACAGAGGTTCTTCAGCCGAGTGGACAATTCTACGGAGATCCTCTCGTTGAGCCCATGGTGGAAAGGATTCTTCGGTTGGCAGCTGCCAGCCTGGGCCAAGTGGATTTTGATGACATCGGTTGTGCCGACGTTAAGTTTCTTTGTTCTCGCCCCGATGCGCGGCTGCTGCGAATGGTTTGTGGTGCTACCTGTGGATGCAATGATCCTTTTGCCTCGGCTTGGCATAAGGTGCCATCGCAGGGGTGTATTCCATCCTGCTTGCAATATGCCACGGATCAGTTGGCGGCATCAACTTGCGAAGACCAACTCGTGCAAGAGGAATGGGAACTATTTTGGGACCTCTACCCAGATGCCATCAGTGCCTTTTTCAACACTGATGTTAGCCAGTCATCAATCTATCCCGCTCTGGTAAACCTGTCCAACGTCATGAAGTCTATGGGCTGCTCGGCGCTGAGGAACCCCAGCTTTCAAGATGAACTTGTGTCCCGCACTCGCTGGTGTGAGGGCTACTTGCCTTTGTTTCGGCCCCTCGCTGGCCATTGTCCTGCATCTTGTGGCTGTGTTGGAGCAAGTCCGCTGCCAGTGTATTGTCCCAGCAGCTGCGCAGCTGTGACATCTGCATGAAATATTGTGGCTTTGGCATGGTGGCATCTCCAAACAGCGTCATTGTGTGCCAAATTAGTCTTCCCATACATAAGCTGTATATGCATTTTCGGGGAGACCATGTTTCCTGAACACTTATTGCTTGTTGAGGTGCGTGGGATATATCTTTATCCGAACCTTGGAAGGAAACAACCAAATTAGACACTACAAAACATGGCAATCGTCTCGCAAGTCATAAATGTAGGAATGATTACTAAGCAGCTTCAGACCCCTTGCCATTAACCGAAACACTAACCAAAACACTATCGGAGCATAGTATTATAGAACTTGGGCGAGATACTATTGGGATAGTGGTGCGTAGATATTGTTGGATTTTATTACATAGTCGTAATTAGTAAGAATATGGGGCATTATTAAGGACTCGAAAATATTGATGATATTAAAACAATGGGATATATGGTGAGTTGGTTTAATGGAATATTAGGTGGGAATACAATATAAACATATTATAAATATAGATTTTAATGTGAAATTTAGGTATGTGTTTAGGTTTTTTTATTGGATGAAAATTGTATATTTTATATTAAATAAATTAATGTAAATAATAAGGTATTTACGTATTGTTTCTTGTTTCTTTTGTTTTTATATATCTATTTATTTAGTGTGAATATATTTAATATTTGGATGTGATGTTGATTTAGAAAATGTGGGGAGTTGAATTTATTTTGGGTTTGATGATTTTTTGTGTTGAAATATATATTATTTATATGTATTAAATGGGAATAAATAAAATTGAATTGGGTTAGGAGTTTTGAAGTAGGTTTAAAATTAAAAAAAATAACAATTACCCATCCATAACCCAATATCATTTTAAATATAACAATTACATTAACCCATTCTTAAGCTAAAAAATATAAATTAATATCAAATATTCATTTATATAAACAAATAATAAATATTGTAAATAGTATTCTAATTCATTTTTTTTTAATTAACTTATTTAAAATTATAATTTATATAAATTATATTTAAAAAAAATATATATATTATTTACATTCGAATACCCAACATTATCCATATTTTAATTTTTATTATAAAATCCAATATATCCTATAGTTTAATTTCTTTATTTTTTATGATTGTTTTTTGGTTTTTATTAAAAAAGAAATCTTTGAATTTGGATTGAATTTATTTTAAATTAAGATAGGGTAATTTGTGATTTTTTAGGAATTATTTTTTTAAAGTCTATTTAAGGTTTGGGAAATATTGGATTGTGGTAATTAGATATTTCCGATTTTATTTTGAGAAAAGTTGGATAGGGAAAATAAATATGATTTAGATTTGTTTTATTTGTATGTTTATAGGAAATAATATTGTTTAAATTAATTTTTGATAAGGTTGAAATATATTATATTTATTTGTTTATGTTAATTTATTTATTGTTAATTTTGTTTGGAATTTCTAATGGGGATGATTAGAAGATATTTGTATAATTATTTTAATATATATATAAAATATATGAGGGAGGGTTATTTTTTGGCGGATATTTTAAAATATGTTTATATATGGAATATTGTTTTATTTTAAATGGGTAATATAGAATGGAATGTTAGAAGATTGTAATTTAAATGATATTTTTAGTTTAATATATTGATTTCTTTATTTGTATTTTCTTTATTTGTATTTTTAATCGTTTTTGGTTATATTTGTATTCTTAAAATTGGAAAATTTATATTATTATTATGTTTTTTGGTTTAGGATTAGATATTCTTATTTTTTTTATTAAGGATTAATTTAATATTATATTTGATCGAAATTATTTTCTTTGTTTTAATTTTAATGGTTTTTAATAAATATAAAATTAATTTATTATATATTTAATGAAATATATAATTGGATTCTTTATTATTATAGAAATTCTAGTATTATATAATAATATAATAATTTTTATAATTTTTATTTATTTTTCGATAAAAATAGGTTATTAAATTTTATATTGGAATTTATATATATATGACATTTTTATATTACACTCCTACTTAATATCTCGTTAGAATAGTTTGTTAATGGATTTCGCTGAGTATTTCGTTAAAACAATTCGCTAGTATATCTTGTTGAATATCGTTAGAATAACTCGTTAGTGAATCCTGCCCAATATCTTATACGAATTGTTCGTTAAAGAATTCCGTTAAAACGATTGATTAATGGATCTCGTCGAGTATTCCGCTAGATTTCTCGCTAGTGGATCTTGCTAAATATCCCACTAGAGTAGTCCGTTAGTAGATCCCGCCGAATATTCCGTTAAATATCTTAGAATAGTTTGTTAGTGAATCCCGCCGAGTTCGCCGCTAAATATCCCTTGCTATTAGATCCTACCGAGTATCCGGAGCGGCTCGTTAGCATTCGCCAATGGATTCTGTAAGTATCCCTCCAGAGCAGCTCGCTAATCTGGTTTTGCTTAATATCCCGCCCGGCGTATAATTGAGTTTATATTTCATGATGGCGCCTTCGTGTTTTGAATGTATCTTGAGGCTCGGAAAGGGTGATGTTTTTGTGTTATTTTGGGCTGCGAAGAAACCATTTCATTTAATCCCCCATCGAGTTTCTTTTTGAAAGAGACTTGGTTTTTGTTTATGGAACCGATGTTTGAGTTCTCGAAATCGGCTCGTAGACAAATGGAGTTTAAGACACGGATAGGTGGATAAGGCTCCCAATCAAGGCCCAATAAGTAGTTATAGGTCCTAAGCCACTCGAAATCCATGCTTGAATTCACACAACCGTGCTCGTGCGTGCGGAAGGTAGGGATTGTTCGAAACGAAATAATTAAAAATTATATGTTTATCTTAAAATGTTATATAATTATCTAATCCCGTTAAAATTGCTTATTAGTGGATCCCCCTAATATTTCGTTAGAGTTACTCGCTAATGGATCCCGCCGAGTATTTCGCTAGACGATAACCGAGTAATTAAGTAAGTGAATGAGTGAGTGAGTGAACGAGCGAGCGAGCGAGTGAAAGAATGAACGAGTAAAGAAATGAAAAAAAGAAAGAAAAGAAAAAAAAACGAATGAATAAATGAATGAATAAATAAATATATATCTATATGTAAAAAGAAAAAAAACAAATATAATAACAAATAAATCTATATAATAATATAAAGAAATATATTAATATATTATAATCAAATCAAAATTCAAATTTAAATATAAATATCAAATTATATATATACTCTGGGTTATCCATTAAAAATCTAAATTAAATTAAATAATATATTCATCAAAATTATAATATCAAAATAATTTATATTAATTATTCATTTTTTTCTTTATATATTTAATAATTTTTTATATCTATATAGATTTTCCATATTCAATAATAAATTATAAATATAATATTAGTTTAATATAAATTATATTTAATTTAAATCCAAAAAACCATATAAATCTATATATTATTCATTCAAAAATATAATAATATTCCATATTAGATTTAATTATATTTAAATATTAATATATAAAACAAAACCCACGAACCCGAATACACATCATTTTATACAAACCCAAGAAATAAAAAAACATTTCTCGCTATAAACCAATAAAATTCGCAATCAAGCCTATCATATTTTTCAGCTTGTAAAAATATATTTTATATTTCATAACTATAATTTTCAATCTAGAATTAAACACCTATGCTTCGTGCATTAAATTTATATTACAAAATTTCAATTTTCCACTCAAAACTAATATATTAAATTTATACTATATCATTACAATTATCCAACTAAAACTAAAACCCAACACTATGCATTCTAAATCAATATTTCTAAAATTATAATTTTCGAACCAAAATTCAAAATCTATATTATATATATTTCAAAATTATAATCTTCCAATAACTATCCAATTAATATTCAAAATCTATATATATATATATTAAATTTATATTTCAAAAATATAATTCTCCAACATAAATTAATATTACAAAAAAACGATTTAATTAAAACTAAACCTAATCTTTGCATATTAAATATCTATATTTCGTATATTAAATATATATTATAAAATCGTAATTGTCCTATTTAAAGCTAAAATCCTATATTTCGTATATTAAACTAATACTACAAAAACCTAAAATTAAAACCCTATATTTCATATACTAAATTTATATTACTTAAAATCATAATTTTCCAATTACTAAAAACCTTTATTTCACACACTAAACTCATATAACAAAATCATAATTTTCCAACTAAAACTACAAACCTATACTTCGTACGCTAAGCTTACTATTATTTCCAACAAAATTAAAGCTAAAAATATATAATTCATATATTATATTTATATTTCAAAATTATAATTTATCAACCACCTAGAATTCGTGCTCTATGCTTATACTACCAAATTACGATTTTCCAGCTAAAATTAAAAATCTTTGTTTCGTATATTAAACCTACACTACAAAATTATAATTATCCATCACATATTAAATGTCTAAACAATACGATTAAATACAATTTCTAATTAACACTTCTAAACCACATTTTTTCTAATCAACACTTCTGAGAAACACTTCTGCACGACAATTTTCCTAATCGACATTTCTAAGCCATACTTCTAATTAACACTTCGGAACAATATTTCTAAACGACACCTAATCGACTTTCTAAGCAATACTTCTAATCGATACTTCTGAATAACCCTTTTAATTCGACAGTTTGAGCAACACTACTGAACCACTCTTCTGATGGACATTGATAAGCAACATTTCTAATCCACACATCTCTCGACAATTCTATTAAACACTTCTGACCAACACTTCTGAACCACACTGCTCATCAACACTTCTGAACGACACTTCTGAGCAACACTGCTGAATTGTCACTTCTGAGCAACACTTCTGAGCAACACTCCTGATCGACACTTTTGAGGAACCCTTCTCATCAGCACTTCAGAGCAACACTTCAGACCCACACCTCATTGACACTTCTGAGCGACACTGTTGAGCGACACCTGATCAACACTTCTGAACCACACTTTCTCTGATCGACACTTCTGAGCGACACTTCCGAGCGACACTTCCAAGCAACACTTGTTCTGATCGACTTTTCTGAGCAACACTTGTGATTGACACTTCTGAGCGACACTTTTGAGCGACACCTGATCAACACTTCTGAACCACACTTTTTCTGATCGACACTTCTGAGCGACACTTTTTCTGATCGACACTTCTGAGCAACACGTCTGGAACACTTCTGATCCGCACTTCTGATTGACACTTCTGATCGACAGTTTGAGCAACACTGCGGAACCACACTTCTGATTGACACTGATGAGCAACACTTCTGATCCACACTTCTCAGACAGTTCTGAGCAACACTTCTGACCAACACTTCTGATCCACACTGCTCATCGGCACTTCTGAACGACACTTCTCAGCAACACTGCTGAATTGACACTTCTGAGCGACACTTCTGAGCAACACTTCTGATCAACACTTCCGATCGACACTTTTGAGGAACCCTTCTCATCAACACTTCTGAGCAACACTTCTGACCCACACTTCTGATTCACACTTCTGAGCGACGCTGTTGAGCGACACCTGATCAACACTTCGGAACCACACTTTTTCTGATCGACACTTCTGAGTAACACTTCTGAGCGACACTTTTTCTGATCGACGTTTCTGAGCAACACTTCTGATCGACACTTCTGACTCTGAGCGGCAGTTCTGGGCAACACTGCTAAAAAAATCTGAGCGACACTTCTGAGCAACACTTCAAACTGACACTTCTGCGCGACACTTCCGAGCAACACTTCCGATCGACACTTCTGATCGACACTTCTGAGCAACACTTCTGCGCAACACTTCTGAGCAACACTGCTGATTCGACACTGCTGATCGACACCTCTGACCGACACCACGATCGACAGTTCTGAGCAACACTTCTATTCCACACTGCTGAGCAACACTTCCGACCGACACTTCCGAGCAACACTTTTGAGCAACACGGCACTTCCGAGCAACACTTCTGAGCAAACACACACACACACACACATGTAAGCGACGCTTTTGAGCGACACTTCTGATATGAACAACACTTCTGGGCAACACTGCGCGGCACTCCTGAGCGACACTCTGAAAACACCTTTGAGCAACACGTCTGAGCAACACTTTTTGAGCACACGTCTGAGCAACACTTCTGAGCAACACTTCTTTTCGACACTTCTGATCGACACTTCTGATCCACACTTCTGATCGACACTTCCGAGCAACGCTTCTGTCGACACTTTCAACCGATACTTCTGAGCGACACTTTTGATCGACACTTCTGAACGATCTAATCGATGCTTCTGAATGATCTAATGGACACTTGCGATCGACACTTCTGAACAACACTTCTGTCTCCAAATGCGCACCGCGCCACGCTTGCCAAGCAGGACACCTCAAAGCGACCACCCCTGGATCGCAAATCCCACTGGCACGGCGAGAACACGCAGCCTTCCAAAACACTGCGCCTGCGCAGCGAAACGACACGTCGAGCTTGAGAAGCTGCGATTCGCGCACAGGGCCAACGAAAACAGCACATCACAAGTCATCAAAACTCCCCCACTGGGAGAGCCATAGCGCAATCATACGAACAGTTGCGGACGGTTGCGGACGGTTGCACAACATCCGGCGAACAAGGCTTCACCCCCAGACCCCCAAGATGAAACGAGAACCCTATGCTACGCATTCGGGAAAAATATGCCCGATAAATGTTCTTGAGGTATATGGATAGGTTTTGAATCGAATATATTTTGTCAATTATTATTTGCAGCAGCGACGGAAAGTGTAAACCTGGGCGACAAATACAGACTTGAAGGTCCGCACACTCTTGCAGCATTCAAGAAAAAATGATGGGAGCCGTTCACCTGCCAAAAATGAGTGCAACAAATCAGCGGAATGCCTCGAGGGAAGATCTCGATGTGTTGATGTCCATGGTAGATCACGCAATTGAGAGAATCTTCGGAAATTTGTCGTCAGATTCCAGAACTGTCGGCGTATGTCGAAGAAAGCATCCAAATGGTATGTTACATGTTTGTTGTGTGATGAGCACTGCAAGTTATTCAACTTCCCCTAAAGAAACCATCGTCTTCCCAGCGGTCAACCTCGAGCCAAGCACTTCACTGCGTTAATCGGGGCCCAAGACAACTGCACTTTCTTTGGGCACCGCGCCATGTCCCAGCAACCCGCATTGCCCCCTGCACCGAAGCGTGCCTCAGGTAGTTTGTGCTTGTCTGACGCGATATAGCTTCGTCTTGGGGCCGTAACTGCAAGTGCTGTTGTTTCTGGCGGCATAAGCCAGAACCGGATTCTTAATTTTTGCTTTTTTGTACCCTCGGACCTCGGATTGGGCCTGGTAAAAGAGACCGGTTGCAAGGCCCCCTTTTAGAATTCTAAGAAGGGTTGGGCAAAAAGCAAGCAGGGGCGGATCATACTTACATTGTTTCGGGTGTTGCTCGGAGGGTATTCAAGAACACATGTCCTGCCACGTCATCTTTGATATCACCCTTTGCTTGCCATGTGAAATCATAAGTATCCGGGCATCTGATGGTACTAGTGCATTTTGTTACATTCATTGCAGCTGACGCAATGTTGCAACTGAACCATTTGGAAGAGAAAAACAATTGGGGCGCCTTTACATGTCGGGCTTTATCAAGAGCATCCTCGGAAGTGACACCAAACAATTTCAACATCCTTGCCTCATCACAGCAATCCTCCTTCTTGAAGGTGTCACTCCAGCACACAAAGCCTCGCCGCTCGATCCCAGCGCACTTTGAGTCGGCTGTCTGTTCAGCTAGAAGTGGGAGGTGTTGTGTACAATGACAAAATCGCTAAGACTTTGTTTGGGTCACGCAAGATCTGGCCACTCGCAAAAATTGGGCTCCTAGCCTGCGCGCGGCATGTCCCGGAGGTGGCTGTCCCTGGCCTCGTCAGCCCATCTACATGTTTACATGTCACATGTTAAGGAAACTCGTTTTGGATGTAAGCCATGGCGCCACGCTTGGCACCAAAAACATTTGCCCATACATGTCCCGTGCTGCCCTCGTCCCAGACCTGTGGCTGGGTTCCGCCAAAGCACTGCCTTGGCGCGTCCATTTCTGCCGGGTGGCCGGGGGCTTGCTCGTGGCGTTCGGCAGCTTCTTCATGAACCACCTGGTTAGCAAATTCGGCCACTCTTGCGCCTTTCACCACTCACACACGCACAATGCGTATATATCATATATGTTCCAGTCCCAGGCCCCCAGCCCCAAACTCGCCCGAAACCCACCGTAAACTAACCCTAACCAACCCTAAACCAACCCCAAACCACATTGGGGGGGGCCATGGCCTGGAACGTTTAGATGTGTATACATAATATACATAATATATATATATATATATATGTAATGGCAAGCGGCAATTGGGCCGCCAAATTGACACAAGGGAGTCCAACCAAACCTCTAGAGGACACGGGAAGATTAGTGAGTCCCATGTCCCTCCCAAATGGGCTATAAACTGGACATTGACCGAACCTATGCAAAGATGAGCCCAATACTTGTTCTCACCTGAGAGTAGGAACCGAGAAGTGATTGCTGCTCCTTGCTTGATCGCACTTTCTCGTTGCCCTGGACAGAAACAGAATTGGGTGGTTTCCCAAAGCGTGGCGACCTGCCTCTCCAAGGGTCGAGGCAAGCGTGTCTGGGCCCAAGGCTGAAAGCTCAGGTAGGACACAAAAAGGCCAGGCCTCACACGGCCTCAATGGACGAGCCAAGTGTAACAGCCCAACCCTGACCGTCCCAACCCGAAACCCAAAATGTATAGCCCAATAATACAGAACAAACATAGGTTTGCCTTCCAGTTCAAAGGGAACGCCTTCATTTCCTTTTGAGTCCAGCAGGGTAGCAAAAAGCAGACACGCACATCTGGACCTGAATCTAGCACTGTCATTTATAGAGCAAAAGCTGAGGTTGAACTGCTTGAAACAGGCGAAACCACCCACTTGCAATTCCTTGGAGGTTTTGTAAAATCTGTACAAGCTCAGGAAGTCCTTTGACCGTCTTGGAAAGGACACCTAGCATTCTTCCCCAAAGCCCGAACTGTTCGCCTCGCACTAAATGATCTTGCCCAACAGGCAAGCCAATGACAGGTTACCCTGGCGCAAACGTGGAAATCCGGAAGTGGACAGCAAATGAGCAAAGGTCGAAACTGCTTTGCAACTGCTTGAATCGAATAAGGTCCATGGCGGCACGAGCAGCATGTTTTGAGGAAGGAAAGTCGGCCACTTGAAGGCATTAAGGCACTGGCCAAGCGTCCGGAGGGACTGCGCTTTGTCGCCCCACTCATCATCCAGGTGTGCCTGCACAGCGAGTGCCAAGATTAAGAAGATGATACAACAAAAGTAACGAGAGCTACAGGCAACCAAAGTGTTGAGAGCCTTCGTGGCAGTCAGCAAAAAAAGCACCAACACTTGCTATATGAAGATCAACAGAAGGCTGCACATGGGCTCAAACGAATCCGACTGCAAAAGCAAGTGCAAGCATCCCACCTCCATGGAAGCCGCAAAGCGCAGCACGTCCCGCTGTGTTGCCTTCGGATTCTAAACAAATGAACATAACCCAAACAAAAACAGAGCAAACAACTCATGATTTGGGGGGCCTACCGAAATTCTGCCGCATTCCCAAACATTACCAACGGAATTATCTGAGAAAACCCACAGCTCTCATCTCGACGCTCTCTTGATGCCTAACAACACTTCATGCCCAAACACCGAATGTGACGGACAAACGACAGAAAGCGGAGCGGCCATTAACATGCAAGCGTGTATTCCACAGAAATCGTAAGGTCAATCACTTCATGAATAGGTTCCGCAGGCACACACTTTCTAGAATCTGCTGTCAATCTCGCCTGCACAAAGCCGCTTCCCCCGCCCAACGGCTGGCTTCTCCCAAGCATTTCCTCAGACCCCCGGCGCCGTCGTTGGCCCAATCATTGCCATCCTGAAGCGCGCCGGCAGATTAAAACTGTAAAACATGCCAATAGCGCATATCGATTGAATTTGAAGATGGTCTTTGCTTCAACAACAGGAAGCCAAGCCACCAAACAGCCAAGCGACCAAGCAGCCAAGGAAATAGTTGTCAACCGCCACTTGCCAGCAATCCACGAAACAACAGCACTTCGGCATTTCGGTGTCATCTTGCTTGGCACATAACACAGACGAGTGCTCTTCCAAAGATAGAGTTGCGTTCAAATACCGCCCCCAAAGAAGCAAACTCCCACCCCCCCACCCTTCTTAGACTGACAAATGACAAACGTCTGGCCAAGCCTCCTCCTCCGGCAGCACCCAGTCGTCACCAAAGAGGATCCCTCCAGGCGGCAGCGCTTGCCACGCCTAAACAACTCCCTCCCTTTGCGGGGTGGGGGCGCGGCCCTGGAAGGATCTGGTTTCTTGGATCTCGTTTTAACCGCTCACTCTCCACGTTGCTCATCGAGGCACCGGCCAAGTCCAGCTCCAGCCTAAGCCAAACTTTCAAGAGACGATGCGGCAGCGCCGGCAACCATCTTGCCAAATCGCTACCATTCCCAAAAACGGAAAAATGAGTATGGATCAAAACTAAACCTCCCGGGAACCGCAATTTCCATTTACCAGGGTTCCAGCTTACCTAGTTTTGACCCAGACCCGAATGTGGAATCCCCATGTAAAATGGCGAGCTCCTGTTCCCCCGAACCAATGAGCTGGTTATAATTTGCTTTCGAAGGGGGCATGATCCACCAATGACAGATCTACATCCAAAGCACCAAAAGGCGAGCTCAACCTACTAGACCTCCACTGGCCTTCCCATTTTGCCGCACATTTGCTTCAGGCTTACCATTCATGCCATGTCCACCCCGCACCAGAAAAAGAAGGAGAACACTGAGAAAAAGACACGGAAGGAACAAGTGAGACATGCATTTTGAATCTTCTTCAATCCTCCCACCAGAGGTGCTCGTTTCTTACTTTGCATCGCCAAATCCGAGGCTCCCACAGGACCTCGCCTTCCTCGTGTGCGGAATCTAGGTAGATGACCTGCGGCAGCCTGAGCCGCTGGAAGGCAATTCACAACCAGCGATCGGTCTGCGTCGCTGGCTTCCAGGTAAGCAAAATATGTCCAACATCCCCCCCGGTCTCCCAAGGGAGCCCAAATGGAAATGCAGTGCCCGGCAAATCTCAGTTACCACAATAGGTCGCCAGCCGCGTTCCTTTTAGTGATTCAGGGTTGGTTCCCTTGGTTGCCTGCTATCCAGGTAAATGGAATCAATGGAGCAGCTTGAACATGACCAACCCTTGCCAACATCAAAAAGATGCAAGTTCAGAACATGCAGGCCAACGCCAAGATATGCAGTCAAAGGACCCGACTATTCCTTGTTCACAGCTTTTTTGATAGGGGCGTGCCGTTTTGAAGGCTACCTTTTTTTGTGGAGCTAGCAGCTGAAAGGAAAACCACCAGCCATGGTTTTGAGACCCTTGGTCAGGGGGAGCGATATCAAGCCCATTACGAACAGCTTCATGCCCCAGAATGCCTTGGCTTTCTCGCTTGCTCCTATATACTGGTGCCAGTACACCCTCGACTACGGCCAAACAAATTCCCTTAGGAAAGAGCCCTTTTAGCGGGCCATTTGAGGTCTGAACATTCCATTCGGGGAACTTTTTGTGGATGTCAGGCATGTGCCCATGGCTCTCCAGCGTTGGCCGGGCCGCCGGGCGGCGCCACTTTGCGCCGCGCCAAGCTGATCGCCAGCTTCAGCGCCACCACAGAGGTCGCCGGCACCGGGAGCACCTAGGTGTGGCCCGAACGGGTGCAACACCGGGCGCCCGACTTCCACACCTCAAAATAACAAGTGCCGACCCTCCTCAAACAAATCAGCACAGGGGCTTGAACACCCAACTCGGCTTCTGGCGCAAGATTGTAGCCCGGCACGGTGAACGTTCGTTCGGAAACCTTGGCTTTTGCCACAGGTCATCTTTTGTACAGCCACCCGAGTTCCGAAGTCTGGGATCTTACAGGGTGGCAGTGCTGAATCGGGACCTGCAGGCAAATTAACCCTGCTACAATTCACAGCGCGGGAAGAAACGGTTCCACATTCATTTGCAAATGGCATTGTTGAAGATTGTGAATGATTACAGATGCTCCTTCAACCACTCTTCGCACCGTCTTCGCTCCAAGACAAACAGTGACAGAAACAACACTGAAAGGCTTGGAGAAATGAGATTCAGCATCAACAAACCACCTATACTCTGGTTGAGGAGACAAAGTGACCGACAATTTGGTGTCGAAAAAGAGACAAACGAATTGGTGGTCATTAACAAGACTCAGCCGCTCAAACCACTGGCAATCCTTCTTGGGCAAGACTGATCCGACTGCAAAAGTCAGCCGTTTATTGGCACAAGGGGGCATTGCGGCTTTTCCGAGTTGAGGTCATTGTACACCTGTCCGAGTGCAGACTGCATTGGCTTCAGCCAGGCGGCGGTCGAAGAGAGCGATGGAGGCATCTGGTCGCAGGAGCTTGCGCCGCTCCTGTGGAAACAACTCGCGGGGTCCTTCTGCCTTTGGCACCATGGATTCACTTTGCGTTCCATTGGGGTCCCTAGGAAGTATAGGTGCGGGTCTTGCACGTCGTTTCCGGCGAACTGCTGGATTCAGCTGGAAGCTATGCCATGACGCAGGCGCCCAATTGCAAGCCGAGACAAGCCAAGTGCGGGTTGCGATGCGCTATAAAGTTGCTCTGCTACCCAAAGGCAAGTAAGCATTGAAAACAACAAAAGTGCCCAGTGACCCCCGCGCCCATTCCAAGTCCTCGGGGTCACGCTCCCACAGCACACGGGCGTCGCCCAGAAAGGTGTCCACGGCTATGACCTCGCTGGCCACGTACCACAAAAATATGATGGCAGACTCCAATTAGGATAGGACTCTTGGGTGTCCAAGTGGAAGTAAAACACCAATCCCAAACGCGCTCTGATGAACTCACCCAACCTCACGGCTCGGAAGCTCTGGCGAACCTTCACATGTGCCATGGTCAAAAGTCCACTTACCAGGAGTCCTTATCATGGTCTAACATCCCTAGAATTGATGATTAACCTGGTACACATGAGCCGCATGGGAAAATGGGTGAGTTCACTTGTTTCGTTGTGGGAGGAGACTTTGTGAGGCCTCCATTTTTCTGTCAGGACTGCGACTGGATATTTGGGCTGAACCTCACATGGATGATCAGAATTTATCACCTCACATAGTCTTTACATAATCTTCCACACCTCGTAGGCCTTACCGTAACCTTCTATAATCTACAATTTATCATCTTCTAGGCCTTGCAGTAACCTTTCTGAAGCCAAGTAGAACCTCAAACGGCCCCAGGTCGGTCCCCTCAGCTGGGTTCTTTGGGAGTCTATGATTGGAGGTAAGGTTTTGGGCGCTTGTAGCCCAGGTCCCGTGCCGAGGTTTCCAGCTTCTGCGCCGCCACGCGCTTCGCCGTGACAATGGCAGAGCCGCCCTCAAGGCAAAGGATGGCGCAACTCTGCGGGTGGGAGGACTGGCCCAGAATTGCGCAGTGTCCCATTGGTCGTCTCAAAATGGGGAACCCGCGAGATGAGCTTCAGTAGTTTGCTTGATTTCTCTTCAAAGGGACCCAAAAAAGGGGGGGGGTACCCTCAAAACATGCACACCCAGAATGGGCCTTGGCGTGCTATGCAGGACACCTGATGTCGGACTCGGAGCGGCCTCGTAGGACCCCAGCTCCAGCCAAAAAGTCACGGGTTGCGGCGCCACGGCCAGCCTGGGACCATGTCGGATCCCTCGGATATGCCGGCGAGTAGAAGACGGCTTCTGTTTATCGAGTTTTTGAAAGCTGGGGCATTTGGCGCAAAGACTGAACTTTCCTCCCAAAAGCAAAACTCGAGAAGTGAGAGCTAAGTCTGACAGTTCCTTCAAATGACACTTTTTGGACTGGCATCCCCGGCACCAGGTCCACGTCCTTGTCAGTCCTCGGCTCACTCAGGACAACCTTTTGGAAGCCCGGCGTTGCGAGCGCCTTGCCATGCGCGGAAAGAAGAAGTCAAACGGTGCAAGATAGTGAAAAGGCATGCCAATGACCTAATTTAGTAGAAATGGCAAACATGGAATAATCCCTCAGCTGGCGAGTATTCACTGTCAAGAACTTTCCGCCAAACCAGCATTGGTTGAACAAAACATGTCAATACTCAATGCTGATGAAAACATGATCATGGTGAACGTGAATGCTGATAACGACCACATATGAACAAGCACGAAGATTCGCAATATATTGCCAATCCGCATCTTTTCCTTGCTGAACTTGCGCATGTTGGGGTTTCTGGCTGACCGAACATTGTAAGCGGTCGCCAGACGGTCTTGGGCCTCTGCCCTGAGCCAAAATCATACGAAAATCGACCACAGCGGACTTGTGCGCGTGAATTTGTCTTGCACAAAAATCATGGCGGCTGTACAGCATGCTTAGGAGATAAGAAGATAAGATGCTTAAAAAGCGAAGATCTTCGCTCAAAACAGTTCAGCCTCTGCCTAGGCCCCGGCCAGCTTGCTCTTGAGAGACGGCGCCACTGCACCCGGGGCCTTCACCAGCTTGGATTGCCTGGCCATGCTACTAGCCCACCAACGCTAGCAAAACCCAAACAGCTGGAGCCCAGAGCCAAGTACAAGACCCGACGCCCCACACATCGTGAAAGCCGCCTTGCAAGGAAATTGGCTTCGCCCTGCCTGGGGCTGCGCCCCAGGAACTCGACGCGACCCGTGTGCAGGTCGTAGACGCCCCCCTGGATCTCCAGCGCTCCGCTGCGCACCTTCTCCCGGATCGGCTCGCTGAATTGGAGCATGAAGTCGATGGTGTGGAACACGTTCCTGGGCCAATCTCAGTCCAAAGCACCAAGAATCTGCCTGCCACCTTTTTGGCACTACCAAACAATTCGAAGAATCAGAAACGCCGCACCGAGGCTCAGCTTCACGGCGTGCTTGGCGATCTCCTCCTCCGTGGCCTTCTTCCCCAGCTCCTTGGACGCCGCCTCTGCCACAGTGCCAAGGCCTTGCAGCAGGGCGTCCAGCGCGTGGGAGGCCTTGCACAAATCACGCGCGCGGCTGAGACACGAATCGAAGGATCAAAAGGAGCTGGCAGCTTTGCCGGGCGACCACACTCACCCTCAAGCGCTGCAAGACCTCGTGTGCCATGAGGGCCCAGCCTTCTGCTGCTTTGCCAGGAACGCTGCCGTGGCACCCTTGATGGCTCCGCAGTTCGTATGGCCCAAAACAAAAATCAGCCGTGTTTTCAGGGGGCCCGTACAGAATTCCAAGCTGCCCAGGATGCTGCCCTCCGCATGGGTGCCTGCGCAAAGGCTAGCGAAGGATGGCAAAGGTGGCCAACGAGGAAGGCTCAAAAGGATAAAACCGCCAACCATAGCTCAAAATAGCCGCACAAATCGCAACAAATCACGTCCACAGGCTCCTTACTCTCCTTGCCGTGGCGCAAGTGTTGCCGGCGTTTCGGAGCACGAAGAGGTCGCCGGCCAGAGCATCGAAGACCGTCTCCAGGGGCACCCGCGAGTCTGCGCAGCCCACCAGCGCCGTGTGGGGTGCTTGGCCGCTGGCAAGTGCCAGCCGCATGCTGCGATCCGCCTTTCCAGCCACCGGCACTCCCGCCACGAAGCGCTTATTGCCATCCTTCGATGGGTTACGGCAATTGGTTCGTGAAAAATGCTGAGGACCATATTCGAGTTCCATCAACCTGCCGCGCCTTGAGCAGGCTGAGGGCGCTCTTGGGTTCCATGGGCTCGTTCTGGGCCGTGCGCACCGCGCCCACGGCCATGGAGGGCGGCAGCGACTCGGACGAGGCCAACAGCTCCTTCTCTTGCGGGGAACGCCCCAGGAACTCCACGCGGCCCGTCTCCAGGTGGTAGATGCCCCCCTGGATGTCCAGCTCCCCTTTGCTCACCATCTCCCGAATGGGCGCGCTGAACTTCAAAAGGAAGTTCCTGTCAGCTGGACTCGACAAGAGAAAGGATGCCAAAACTGCAGCTGAAGTCTTCGAAACTTAGGGCTCCATGATTCGAGCCCAAAATTGGAGAATCAAATAAGCTGAGGCACATGGATTGGAAGACATTGACCTTGACCGCATGCGCGACCAGCTTCTCAGGGGCCGCGCCCGGGCCGAGCTCCTCGCTGGCAGTCTTGGCCACAGAGGCCAATCCCTGCAGCAGCCCCTCCAAGGCGCAGCCTGGGGCCTGCACGGGGCTCCAATCACTCATCGCAGCCAGTTCGGGCTTGACTGAGACCATCGAACCCGACCCGAATTTGCTAAGGATGTTTTTGCACCAATGAAGATAGGATGCTGTCGGGCCTTGGACTCGTTGGCTTGGAAGGTCTGTGTGGCTCCCGCGATGGCGCCGCATTGCGTGTGCCCCAAAACCTAACAAAAAAAACAACCAACAACAACAAGAGCCACAGGGAGGAGTTAAGAAGTGCCAATAAAGCATTATCCCATGATCGAAAAGAACATATCAATCACCATCGACTCGTGGAAATGACTAACTGGTGCCGCGCTGGGAAGCCAGGATCAGCCGGGTGCCCAGCTTGCCCGTGCAGAACTCCAGGCTGCCTACCATCGATCCTTCGGAATGCGTGCACGTGTTTCCGGCATTGCGCAGAACGAACAACTCCCCGGGCATAGAGTCGAAAACCGTATCAACGGGCACACGGGAATCGGCGCAGCCCAGGATGGCGCTGTGGGGTGCCTGGCCGCAGCTGACCAAGGCCTTCCGCATGGAGCCGGAGGTGTTGGTGGAAGTCAGCGCGCCGGTGGCAAAGCGCTCGTTGCCCGCCTTCAGCAACTTCAGCGCCTCGGCCTTGGACACGGCAGCGTCGGCGCCGGTGCGCACGCCGTGCACGCCGCGGCTCGGGGCATCCGCGTCCGCATTGGCCATGCTCGGGGGGATGGACGTCGTGGAGTCCAACAGCTGGCCTTGCAGGGGCGACTGCCCCAGGAATTCCACGGATCCCGTCTCCAAGTGATAGATGCCGCCGTGGATCTGGACCTGCCCAGTACGCACGCTCTCCCGGATGGCCTCGCTGTAGCGCAACAGGAAGGCCATGGTCTGGAAGACGTTCCTAAGTAGGATTTTTGGCAACTGGATCAGCTTGCATTCAACATCTGCTTCAACAAAAGCTGTGGGAAAGCGCGAAGAAGCTCAATTGTTGCATCTGGCTAGCCATTCAAAACTCAGAGCTTGTGATCATAGTTAATATAGTCTCGCAATATGTGTGAGCGTGAACGTTGGCAAATCAAGGTGCCATGATGATAGCAGATGCTTTGTTTCTTAAGTAGCAAGTCCACGGACCATGCAAAGGCAGAGCTAGGTGTGCGCTCCATAGCTGTGTTGTTTTGGGTGCTTCTCTCCATTGGCAGCTTGATTCACATCCCTGTCTTTCCCCTCTGCGCTGAGTGTCTGTTTTCAATTCACATGGAGCAGAACCACCGCCCGACTTTCTTCTTCCGCCTTTCCTTCTGTTTCACGCATAATCATCTCTCCATTCTTGATGACTTGCTTGCGTTCCTCCGTGATGGGCCTGGCCCTCAATACTTCCTGTTGCGCGTGTCTCACCGCATCATTTGCCCTTGTCACAAGAGTGTTCTTGGGCTCTCTTTCGCAGCAGTAGAAGCCTCTCGACCAATGCTTCTTCCAGTTTTTTTTTTGCGAAGCCCTACCATCTTAGGCTCACATCTTAGGCTCTTTTCGTCGATGATCAAGCAACGCTCTCCTCTCTGGCGAGCTACCCATGCAGCTCGTGGATTGTCCGCTTCATGTGTTTCATACTTCTCTCATACCTGAGAATCATTTCTCTCGCTGTGCTCATGCTTTTTGGCATATCTTCACGAAATGTGTGGCCTGCAGCACAGACAGTTTCGACTTGTTCTTTTCTTCGCCGATCTGCATCTGTGCTTCTTCCGTTTCGTTGTTATGTATCGGAATGACATGAGCGACCTGTTGTTTCGCAAGTTGTCTTGTGCACCCGGTGGGGACGGGGGGGGTATTATTTTTGCGACGCATACGAAAAGCACGACCATTACCAGTACCATGGCCATTCGTTGCGACTATTGCGGGAATTGATATCGTTGACAGCGTTGGGTGTAAATCGCACTGAAGCCAGTTCCTCAATCCCCCAAGAATTGAGAGATTATCAGAGAAGGAAACGCCTTTCATGGCCGAACACCAAGGCCGCTATTAGCACGCATACTTACTTGAGGCGTGCGCAGTTCGCGAGCCTCTCATTCTTCAACGTTCACGGCAAGAGTAAGTACGATTGTTGTGAAAAAGCAAAAGGCAGCAACGTTGCCCCTGTGTTTCTCGAAATGCCTGCAAACATCCATCCAGCCAAACCATCCAAGTGATCAAACTGATCCGAATGCATTGTAGCTATTTGCTTGTTGCCAAAAGCGTGCGCCGAGGCACACCTTCACAGCGCGCGCCGCCACGTCCTCCTCCTTGGCATCGGCCCCCAGCTCCTCGGCGGCCTGCTGCGCCACGGAGCCCAAGCCCTGCAGCAGACCTTCCAGCGCTGAGGCCTTGCCCCGGGCGCCGCTGAGGTACGCCTTGGTGGCGCCGTACACGGCCCCGCACTTCGAGTGGCCCAAGACCTGAGGCGAACGACCGTGGCGCCTGTCAACTGGGCGGAAGCAAGTCACACAATCCCTTTCTCACTGAAAATGGGCGCCCCCTCAAAACTCACGAGCTCCATAGTTGTGTTTGAAGCAGAGCGGCCAGGATCAGGCGGCTACCCAGCTTGCCCGTGCAGAACTCCAAGCTGCCCACCATCGAGCCCTCGGAATGTGTACATGTGTTTCCCGCATTGCGCAGCACAAAAATGTCGCCGGGCATAGCGTCGAAGATGGTCTCCAGCGGGGCACGGCTGTCCGCGCACCCGATGACGGCCGTGTGGGGCGCCTGGCCCTCGTCGACCAGCTGCCGCCGCAGCTCGTCCTTGGTGCGGGCGCCCAGCGGCGCGCCGTTCACGAAGCGCCTGTTGCCCTCCGCCAGCAGCTGCAGCGCATCCTTCGGTGGCACCGGTGGGTCTGCGGCTGTGCGCACCACCCGCGGCTCCGGCCGGGAGCATGCACCGAAGAGGTCGAAGAGCGCCATGACCAGGAGATGATCGCTGTAGGAGGCAAGGAGATTTGCTGAGCTGAATGCTGAAACGAATCAACAGCTTGTGAGTCACAGCCAATGGCTCCAAACGAACCTGGGGAACCTGGGGCAGGCACACATGGGTCATGAACTTGTCCAGGACCGGCTCCTCGCGGAAGGTGTCCATGGGGTCATTCCTCGCGAAGATGATCTTGCCAGGCCCAGAGGTGTGCAGTTCAATTCATCCAGTCTTCCCACATGAGAAAATGCACGCAGGGGCAATGGTGGGGTTCTCCTGCACGCGGACAAGGCAACCTGGAGATCAAGCTATCCTGACCTTCTTGCAAGACCTGACTGCAAATGGAGTAGCCTTAGCCTCCACCCTTGAGTCCTGCGTCCCTTCAAAAAGCCCAGGGCAACTCACTTCAATAGGCTCTCTCGTTGCACTCTCTTCGAGGTAAGATCTTAAGCAAGCCATTGGCTACAGCCCGAACTTGCCCCCCCCCCCCAACCCCACCCCCAAAAAAGAAAGAAGAAAAAACACCTGGGAGCCGGTCCCCAGGAACAGCTCGTCCAGCAAAGCTCTGGCCACAGGAGGTCGCACACCCTGCGCGCTCTCGGATTCTTTCGTCACAGATCCATCTCGGAAAGGGTATGTTGGTTTGGGAGGGGACCCCATTTTTGGCAGAGATGAAAACAAGAAAACCGGGGGCGGGAAAGGGGCTTCAGTTTCGAACTGTCCTCCGAAGGTCACGAGCCCTCTTCAGGATCCCTACGGGTCGTCCTGCCCCTGTTTGTAAAGAGGCTTCATGTTTGCCCCTACTCATGGGCCTCGAACCCATTTGATTTTGTAAAAAAAGGGAGCTCAATATCGTCGATGCCTCCCATCTTTGTGTCACAAGGCTCTTGAAATGATCCCTTGTAACCTGCTTGAAGTACTTGTGATGCTATCATTGAAGTTTTTCAGCGCGACTTTTCGCGTTGCTTGTCATTGAGACCGTCGGTTCTGTAAATCCTCCGTTTTGTTGGGTTTCCTGTCCAAGTGTCTGCCCTTCTGATCAATTCGGTCGTAGGTAGAATGGGATCAACTCCCTGTTTTCAGTCACTCTCTTTGTTGTGTGCACTCAAAACCAACGTAGGTTTGTACTGGACAGGCAGAACTCGTGTCGGATCTCGTGATTTAAATTCATGACATCCCAAGTCAGTCAGGGGTGTTCCCAATCCCCACTGCGCTATCAACAAACACCGAACCATGCCCTTGAAGTACTGGTAGCTCCTTTGCACTCTCTCGTTAAGCTTGTTTCCCCCCAGTGAAATGCCCACCTCGTGGCAGGGCGTGGCAGCAGCAGCCACCAACGCCACGGCCAGCACCAGCCTCCGAATGGGAAGGGGGGCTGGCAAGCAACGGTGCGACTATCTGCCCATCTATCTGTCTAACCGTCTGTCCATCTACGTATCTGCATCTATCCACCTATTTCCTTATCTACCTACCTACTTACCTGAATCCACCCTATCCATCCGTGAATCTAAACTATACTACACTACTCTCATCTATCTATCAATATGTCTGATCTCACCTAATCTAATCTAGTCTATTTTCATCCATCTATCTGGCCGCGTTTAGCCCAGCCTAGCCTCGCCTCGCCAAGCCTAGCCTATCCTAGTTCATCTATCTATCTGGCTGTTGTTCTATCTGTCTGTCTGTCTGTCTGTCTGTCTGTCTGTCTATCTATCTATCTATCTATCTATCTATCTATCTATCTATTGTCTATCGATCTATCTATTGTCTATCGATCTATCTAGCTGTCTAGCCCTGTCCTAAAAGCTGTTGTAGATAGGCATCAAATGATACTGGTCATAATTATATCTCCTTATGAAGCAAAAGTGAAAGCAAACCAAGGATCCTTGTGGTAGACAGCTTTCTTGAAAACTTCCATGAGCATGAGAGGGTACAGCTAAATTGACCTTCAAAGATGCTGAAGTATCCTTCTCACGGCAGCCTCCCACGCGATTAGCTTTGTTGGCATTCGTTGGATGAATTGGGCAAGCGCAAGCAAACGGATCGATCTTCTGTGCACAACATGCAACAGAATAAATTATGCTTGCATGTCCCGTAGGGTTCGCAAGTTCAAGGATGGGTTTGAGGTTGGTTCAGAGTCGGACGAAGGAGGGTGCTTAAGGTGTCGAATTTGAGGGTTAGGGATGAGGGTCAGTCTTGGCTCGGGCAGTCAGTTTCGTTCGGCTCATAAGTCCAGGGTCAAGGGTGAGACTGCAAGACCTGGTCAGCTTGAAGCTTGGGATCAGAGATGATCACAGTTCCTTGGATGTAGGTCGCAAGTTTGGGAAGATTGACTTTGAAGCGCACCTCCGCGAGACCTGACTGAGCTGGCTCCAAGTGGGCGGGGTTAGCCCAGGGAGCCCAGGGTAGGTCGGGCTAGCTTTCAGGCTTCAATTTTGAAAAACAATGGGGCCTAGCTGATCATGTTGCGCAGTCCGCTCCCAAATGCATCCGCCCGGGGTACGAGGGATGGTTGTTTGTCTTCTCGGTGAGATGATCCATCGCCCCACAGCGCTGGCATGTGCAATATCCAAAAAGGCTCTCCGACCCTCCCCTCGGTTTGCTGAGCCTGAATCCCATGCCGGCTTGGCCCACCTGGCCCCATGGCTCAGGGCTGGTGCCCTCTGTTCTACGCGTTAACGCCAAACAGTTGACAGACTGTTGGGATTGCTTGCGAACAAGCCAAAGGTCTTCTGAAGGAGAAGGTCCGACGAGTGCGACTTCAAATTGTTTGGGCAACCTGACTTGGCCTCACAGCTTGAGACTCCTTGTTTGCCTCCGACTTTGGCTTGCAATGCTTACTTTTGGGGTTTGAGACCATGGCTCGCCTTCATGGACGGAAACCAACGTGGGCAAACGATCCTGCTTTATGCGCTTTGGAGATTGGCCCGCGCTTGGGCCGGCAGGCCAGACATCCGGACGGTCGCTTGCAAGTCAGCAAATGCACTGCATTTGATGTACGAGTCGCGCTCCCGCCGCCCCTGTTTTTGGGATCCAGCACATGGCTTACTGCGCGCATTGCCAGCTGCTTAGCAGGACGCAGGTCGCATGGCGGCCCGCTTGCGTGGTTCAACTTGTGATTGGGCCCTCACATCGGTGTCGCAGAGAGGACCCAGGTCTGGAATGCGGCCATCTGCAAGAGCTATCTGCCTGATGCAAGACAGGAGTGGCGCTCTACCTGATGTTGGACTGAATACATACTGAGGCAGAATCTCTGACAGTAATGCATTGCAGGTGTTGCAGCATTGATCCCCCGTAAAACACAGCGCCCTCCCCAGTTCATCCCAATGTGCAGGTCATGCGATCAATTGTAAAATCGTTACAAGACCGCTCTCCAGCATCTGGGCACAGCATGCTTCAAAACAGAGAGCACATGTTTGGGCCGTCAGCATGCTATGAAACCAAACATCAAGGGGGCCTTAAATTTACGACTTATCTATCTGCTATCCGGGGCACCGGCCGGGCCGTGTCGCTCGCCGTTCAGTGCCAGACCGCAGAGACGTCCCAGAGCTCAAGACTGCGCTTTTGCCGCCACATATGCCTCCTCCAGCTCATTGAGCATCCTAGGGTCAAGACTTGATTCATGTTGGTTCCTTGCTTTTTTTCTGAGAATGCGGTGCATGGTATGCGCTTTTCTGTGCGTCCGAACGTGGTCCTCATACTGCCTGCTTGGAATCCAGGGATGCCAACTGCGCCTTGTTACCCGGAGCCTCCTGCCCCAGCAGCAAAGGGATACGAGGGATGTCCCAAATTGAGGATTCTGAGACAGCCGTTAAAGGGAAACCAACACTCATTTTTGAAGGCGCCCTATGTTTGGGAAAATCCATCTAATCACTGCTGCCACCGCACCGCACTGCGCCCAAGCCTGCATCCGCGTTGTCCCTCTGAAGGGGGGGGGGGGAAATTGATGTTTACCCTTCAATCAGGGGCCAATGTTGAAAGGTGCGTTTTTGAGGTAGCTAATTTTGCAGGGATTCTTTGCGGGGGACCAGCTAAAAACAATGTGAAGGGCGTAAACAAAAAAAACGGCCTGTATCCTTTCCTTCGCCTAAACGCCGCAAAAAAATCAAACCTGGCGACAGTGGGAAGCAACGAGTGAACCTGGAAGATGGATAATCAGATGAGGCGGCAGGACAACGTCAAATAAACATCACAGCAATGGAGAATGGATTCTGGAAAGCCCACAGGCAACCCCGCCCACGGGCATCCTCAGCCAAGGTGCAGCGCGAAGTGCGGGAAGAGCCGCGCGAAGGTGCCGCGGTCCACCGACGCCTCCGCACCGAAGACCGCGCTGAAGGCGAAGTGAGCGAAATCCCGCCGGTCCTACGACGCACACACGCGGTGGTTGTTGGTTGGAGGGCGATGGAAGTCATGGCGAGTCCACCCCGGGCATCGCGGGTCAAGCAGTCGTGCAACGACTGAGCTGCAGGTTGACTTGCTACTATATTGGGTGAGATGTAGAGTGCCTGTGCACGTGAGTACTATATTCTTCATCTGATGATGATGATGATGATGATGATGATGGTTGTTAAAGTGGAGCAGGTTGACATAGACCTGGAACCACTGGATCCCGCATCTGATGTCCGGAGAAATGACGGGCGGTTAGGCATTCTGCGCTGCCCAACATGTTTCTCTCTGCATCGGATGTCTCGCCATGGCTCAATGCGAGGCATTGACTGCAAGCTTTGACGAAAAAGCAAACACATGACGCATGTCACAAGTGTGGGTCGGTCAGGCGCCGGCCGCTACACCAGAACATGCTGTGATGCGTGCTGCACATGCTGCGCGGTCACCACTATCACTCCATATCAGATGTGCCATTGTGCCATACGAGGCGCTGGCTGCACACACTCTTGGCGCAAACAAAGACATGAAAGCGTGTCCGAGAAGAAGGCCGGTCATGCGCCGGCCTTTCCACAAGAACATGCTGCAATGCTTGTGCAACTGCTGTGCTGTCAAAATTGTCATGCCCAATCAGGATTGCCAAAGCTCCACGCACGGCGTTGGCATCACCATTCCTTTGATCAAGCAAATAAATAAAACTCTCCCCGTCTCGAAGCTCGCCCTCGCGCCATGCAAGCGGGCGGCTCGAGTCGCATGCAAGCAAACCAACCGCATGTCAAAGTGAAGGCCGGACGCTGCTGGTCAGGCCGTTTCCACGATCACAAGATGCTATGTGTGCGTTGCGTAAATCAACACACCAAAAGAAAATAAAAGAAAATTCTCCACTCACAGCCTTCCCCAAGTACTCCATGCATCGATGGTTCACCAAGGTCATTGCTGTTCATTTTGCTGCGGACAGCAAATGCACTCCCCCTGCGGCATTGCCAAAGTGCTATGCCAGCTTTGCCAGTTTCACACAAAAGGATGCTGCTCAATTTGCTGCTGTGCAACAAAGACCCCGTTTTTTATATATAAAAAGCACTATCCGGACATGGCTATCCGGAATGTTGTCACCCCATCCGATGCCCCGCTATGCCTTCAGGAGGGCGGTAGCATCAAAACTGTCAACCAGTTGGGCTGGCAAAGGCGCCCAGACATGCTACAAGTGGCAGTTGGCCCATCACCAGGCGCATGTCGGTCTGCCAGGATGCGCTGCCTGATGCTGCGCCACACTGGTACCCCGTTAATTTATTTTATTTTGGTTAAAGAAACTACCCCAATTGGACTATATTCTTCATCTCATGCACTGTCGTGCTGTTTGCAACCAGCGCTCCAGCGCTGGAGCGCCGAACGCTTCGGCTCTTACAGTTGCAGTTAAAGGCAACACCATGTGCAGAGGACTCTGTATATCATATCATGTAAGTATGTTTGCGAAGGTATGCATTGTCAGAGGAAGTGTTGCACCGGCATTCAAGAATCAGCTGTGACGAACACCTCTCAGCATTTAGAGCCGTCTGCAAACTGCAGCCATCAGAGCGATTCAACAGAACATCCCACGCCCTCAGCAATACCATACGCCAGTCTGAAGAAAATGAAAGAAGCATTTTGGAACATCTCTGGCACGTTGATCCATACCTTCAGCCCACCGTCTTTCATCATCTCGATGCGATGCGCTGTGACTCTCGAAGTTGCCAGTTTGAAACCTCACCTGGGCAATAACAAACGTGACTTGTTGGAAATAGTTGACGCTCTTGTCATTCAGATCCTCTGCATCAATCCTGTTACGATCTGCATGAGCCACAGTGAACAGTACCTGCCATGTGTTGGACTGAAGTACACTGTGCCATGACCGAACTGCTGACGATGCACCCTCAAACACGAACTCCATCCCAAGTTCTAAGAGCTCGTGGCCAGCACCGAAACCAGAGTCCGGGAAACCGGCTATGGGATTGCCCCAATTTTTGGGCCCCCGCCTCCCTTCTTGGCTCGTCTTTTGCTTTAGACGTTCAACTGGTATGATGCTTAATTCGGGATCCCTTGGCTGACCGTGGTCACAACTAGTGTTCCAACCATAAACACTCATAGGCATATGAGCACTTCCCAAAAGCACGATTTGTTCCTTAACATTGAGTCCACCATCAAGACTGATAGCCATGTGAAAAAAATAAATTGATAGCCACGTGAGACAAATAAGGTCGGGCCCCGCAACGTGATCGGAACTGCCCCGTGACTTGACAATGGAAAAGATAACCATGGAAAAGAAAGATAGATAATGAAGAGGACAAATATCGATTGTCTCACGCTAACCCTTCTCTGCAGTCAATTATGGACGGGTCAACGGCTCAGATACAACAATGAAAGGATGATGATTCCCTCCACCAATGAATGCCGTGGGACAAGGCCGAGGATAGCGAATCATCCATCCCTTTTCCAAGCCTCTCTTTCATTCGCTACAGATAGAGGAGAGACATCTGTACCTTGTACATAAGGTGGATTCTACAATTGGGTGACAATAAGAGTCCTCCCTTCCCACTCGCAGAACACAGGCGACGAGCAAGACGAATCTCTGCCTCAAGGATGTGGCTGGAAAAGTTGGGATAGGATGGAGAGGAGCTGTACATTGGATAGTCATCAAGCCCCGCCCAATAGGCCAGGTAGTGGATGGGTGGATAAAAGATACCGCCCCATCCTCCCCAGCTTCTTCGGGAACCGCCCCTTGCATCCCCGGACTCGGAACCGCCCTGTGCACCCAGCTGTACGCATCCCCAGAATGGGCAACGCAGACATTATGCCGCCCCATGTGTCGCAACGTCCCCTCTATGAATGAAGAACCCTCTGTTGAAAACAATCGCCTTGCGCTTAGCCTTCCGCCCCGTTCACTGCCCTTGCGAACCTTCGCGGGCGCCGGTTTTGCTTGGGAGCTTTAACGCAAAAGACAAGCTGCGCATTTACAGCGAGGGATCGGGCCAACCCCTCCCCCCCCCCCCCGTTTAGGCATGTCTAAACACATGTTTAATCATCCCCCTAGCTTCCCTTTTTTGAAGCCAGGCCATGGTCATGGTTTCGTCCTGCTCCGTGCTGGGCCCGCGCCCCTGCGCACGCCGGAGACGCTCGCACAAGTGCCCGAAGTCCACGGGAAACATCTGTTCCCTGGCGGAACTGCGCAGCTTCCCCATAGCCACAGTGAAAATCTGTCGGTTCAAGGACATCGACATGCGTTTTCCCCGAGAGGAAAGATTGGTGTCTGCCAAATTTCATGGGTCAGGTCAGTTCGTTCGGGATTTGGGTGTTTTAAGGTCCTAAAAAAGAATAATGATTTTTTACTCAAACTTCAGGGTTTACCAAAACCAAAAAAAGAAAACAACAAATCTCAAAGTGTACTAGTGATGCCAGTTTCCCTGAAACAAGAATCAATTTGCTTGCTTCCCAGGGGACCCCGCCGTTTCTGCGTGCTAAGCCTTAAGGGTAAGACAGCTTGACGCGCCTGCTGAAAGGGGTTTGGGGTCGTTTAAACAGGAATGAGTCTTGGCCGCCAAGAGGAAAGGGCTTGAACGGTTTTTCAGGAATAACTTCACTATGAAGCCGCCTCTTCTGTACGAGCAAAGTGCGTTGTTCTTGAGCCCCGCATTTTGGCTAGATTCTGGGCTTGCAATTGCAAGTGTTCACAAAGAAAGCAGGGACCTGCAACACATCCTGCATGGGCACATTTTTTGGGTTTTGGCCACACACTACATAATACGGAGCAGAACGTGTTTTTCTTGGTAGGCGTTTCTCAGAGGCCCCAGGTTCCCCGTGAACCAACTCCAAACAAGCTCCGAACGAAGGAACTCCGAACGAACTCCGAACGAACTCCGAACGAACTCCGGACGAACTCAGAACGAACTCCGAACGAACTCCGAGCGAACTCAGAACGAACTCCGAACGAACTCCGAACGAACTCCGAACAAACTCCGAACGAACTCCGGGCGAACTCGGAACAAACTCTGAACAAGCGAACAAGCTCCGAGCGAACTTTGGCATTGTTCCCGAGCCAACTCCGAACACACTTTGGCCATAAGCATGTTTTTGAGCCTAAGTATTTTGGTGGTCAAACTGTTTTGTTGCTTTTTTTCGGCCTTACCAAAAGAGGCCAAGTGATTGGAGGGCTAAACTCGCTACCGGGGTGATCACGCGGCTTGGTTGACGCTGAGGCTCGCTGTTGAAGCTGAAACAAAGCTTAATCTTTTTGATCAAGGCTTCATCCGGGAAACAACCTTAGTCCAAAAAAAAGAGCTTAAGTTCAACGCCGGTGTTGAACTTTAGGGTTTGCACGGTTTGTGTAATGGCTTGCCCGATTTTGGTCGTATGAAATAGTTGTTTTTTGCATGAAAAACCTGGATTAAGCATGTTTCAATGTTTTTGTTGCCCTGGTAACACTGAATTTGTACGAAAAGCGCATCAACAAGCTGTAATTCCAGTGTTTTTGCACGACCAAAACCCAAAAAGTTCAACACCAAAAAAAATAAGCTCAAACAAAAAGCTTAAGGCCAAAGTTTGTTCGGAGTTCGTTCGGAGTTCGTCCCGGGCAAGAATTAAGCCCCGAAAAAGATAATAAGCAAAAAATCACAGCCTGAAAAAAACGAGCAATAAAACAAAACAAAGCCGAAAAACTGAAACTTAAGGCCGAAACACAAAAATCAGATCCCCCAAAGAAAAATATGGCCAAAGTTTGTTTGGCGCTTTTCCGGGAAGGAAATCCAGCCCGAAACATACATAACAGGAAAACCAAGTGACCAAAAGAACTAATTTCAACAAGTGGCCTGAGAACATGTTTGTTTGCCTCAAAAAACACCTTCCCAGGCCACTTGTTGAAACTGGCCCCTGTAATCACTTGGCCTCTTTTGGTAAGCCCGAAAAAAAAGCAAAACACTAAACAGCTTGGCCACCAAAGTACGTAGGCTCAAAAACATATTTATGGCTAAAGTGTGTTCGGAGTTGGCTCGGGAGCAATGCCAAAGTTCGCTCGGAGCTTGCTCGCTTGTTCGGAGTTTGTTCGGAGTTTGTCCGGAGTTCGTTCGGAGTTCCTTCGGAGATCGCTCGGAGTTCGTTCTGAGTTCGTTCGGAGATCGTTCGGAGTTCGTTCGGAGTTCGTTCGGAGTTCGTCCGGAGTTCGTTCGGAGTTCGTCCGGAGTTCGTTCGGAGTTTGTTCGGAGTTTGTTCGTTCGGAGCTTGTTCGGAGTTGGTTCACGGGGGAATCTGGGGCCTCTGAGAAACGCCTACTAAGAGAAAACACGTTCTGCTCCGCATAATGTAGTGTGTGGCCAAAACCTAAAAATGTGCCCATGCAGAATTTGTTGCAGATCACTGTTTTTTGTGAAAACTCGCAATTGCCGCAAACGCAAGCCCAATCTGCCAAAATACGAGCAGTATTTGGGCTCCAACACAACGCATTTTGCTCGTACAGAAGAGGCGGTTTCATAGTTAAGTTTTTCCCGGAAAACAGTTCAAGCCCTTTCCTCTTGGCGGCCAAGACTCATTCCTGCTTAGATGACCCCAAACCCCTTTCAGCATGCGCATCAAGCTGCCTTACCCTTAAGCTGTTTTGGTGTTGAACCGAATTCCCCACGCAAATTGGCATTGGTGTCCACAACGGTCCTCCCAAATGAACCGCATAGGCTACTGCGTGTTTTGACCGACCCTCAGTCAATGCAACCCTGGTTGAAATGGATGGACTCTGCTGGCCTCCGTTGGGTTGTTCGAAACGAGACTCAGGCCCGAATTGGCAGTCGAGGATTGTCTTCGTTGGGAGAACCCAATCAAAGCCACCAATGAGGGAACCTGACGGCAACATGAATCGAGCCGTTCAAAGAGACTTCGGACATTGGGACGGCAAAAAATGCTCTGAGAGTGTTTCCCTGAAACGCCACAGAATGTCGTAAGTAAACCACGAAGAACATCGCAACCGTGGTACGGTGCTTTGAGAAGGTGCGCTGGAGTTGGCCCTGCACACAACCGAGCACACATGACTCCATGGCGATTTTGCTTTGGCTGGCACTCAAAGCTTTGGTCGTCTGGGCAATCGCTTGGTTGCAACCTCAACAAACACTGAAGGAACTTGGCCACGATATTGACTGCAAAGCAACCAGTTGTTTGACCATGCCACATACAAGCCACAAGTCATGGCTCTGATTGCTTAACCCCCGGCTAAATGGGCATCCACTTGGGCACACTTCGAAGCCAATTGGGGTAACAAATCCAAACGACGAATGATCCCGAATCCGTTGTTGGAAAGAGGATAACTTACTTGCCAAG